AGTAACGGAAGATGCAGTGCTGTAGCAAGTTCCGATGGGAACAAAGGTGATCCAAGCCAATTCACAAAAACATCCAGACATTTCAGTCAGTAGAAATGAGGACCGCAATGGCAGATTAAATATTAATGAGTGTCAATGACACTGTAACTCACCACAAATAAGATCGAGAGGATACGCTTATTCCACGTAGCTGCTATATACCACGTGACAATGGTGTTTCCCTGCCCATAACACAACTTTTGTCAAAGGTTAATTGGTTGGATGGAAGTGTTTACTTCGTATGAGTTTTTCTAGGCGGTAGCACACGGTTGCCATCTGCATATCGCAATAATAATTTATAAACCAAAATGAATCACAATTTGTGACGGTAGATGGCGCTATACCCGCTTTGATGTTTCTTAGCGGACCCACATGTTTGAAATAGGGTATAGTTGTTACTGCTATGCTCCCATATTGAACGTCCTATTTTGGAGCACGCCAGTCGACGTACTTTCGAACCACGGCAATTTTTTGGCAAAAATGGGAATTGCCATTAGTCAGTTTAGGTTCAACAGATTTTGCTCATTTTTGGTATGTGAATGAATAAGGGCTAGGTGTTTTGATGTTTAAAAAAAATTATGCAAATTAGGTAGGTTTTGGCAATTATATAGCATATTATATAGACACGCAGATAACAAACAGTCTGTGGTGTCACCTCTGTCTGGTTCTTTTTACAAGATTTCATTGACAATATCTTTAATGCAAAATTGGTATTTCCGCTCCACCCTGCCGATAAAACGTCTATATTAGAGTAAAGTTTTACAAAACATGTTGGAACGCAGCATAACCTATTTATTTCGAACGCCATAAACGGTTCCTGAGTTATCGTTGACCGTAGCCAAATGTTGACGGACGGACAGACGGAGCGGACGACGGACGACGACCCATGGCAATAGCTCAGCTTGACGATGTCAAGGTGAGCTAAAAATGTTGAATGAAACGACGTTAATGGGGGTCTTGCTGTGTATCTATCCTTGGGAATTATGTTGCGCAAACCGATCCATCACCCACATCAACCAATGCATCGAAGGAGTTATTGGCTATTATTATTTAATTAGAATGCACTTAGTCTACACACCTCCTGTAGTCTGGTACTATTTTTCGTGTTGCCCTGCTCTGCCTCTGCCATCAACTTCTTCTCTTCTTCCAGCAGAGCGAGTCGTTTTGTGTCCGCCTTCAGCACAGAATCTATAGCTGATGTTTCATCGGCAACAACCTCTGAAAGAATCGACACCACATGATAATTTAATGTCACCTGAATAATGATAGCTGCAACATCACAACTTGATGTCACCTCTACAATAACACACACTTTCTCATAATTCGGGGGTCACTGCTACAGGAGCACACACTACATCATTTAAAAACAGGAGTAATATTTACGGCTAGTAAAACTTTAAACAGCTAATGAGTGACCACCGCTCAGTTTCATATATATATATATATATATATATATATATATATATA